TCATATTGTAAAACAACAATAGCATGTAAAAAAGTGCTATAATATAGAAGAGACCTAAGATAGCTGGGGCAGACATAGCGGTTCATACTACGCTATCTATGACATATGATAGCGGTTTTCTCGGGCTATCAATACCATTTTTTTTAGTAGTGTGAGTTAGTTCTTCCCAACTCATCACTCACCACCTTGAGGACTCCACGAGCAATCAGATTTGATATCAGTGAGAAACCTCTCGTTGGACATCATGGACCTCTTTGTCCCATGACTCTACCATCAGCCAAGAAGAGCACATAAAAAAAAGCTGCATTCCATGAAGGTCACACAAGCAAGGTAAATGCGCATCTCTTTGGCCCTCCTCGCTATCACTTTGTTCAGCGCCCTGGTGCTTTGCCTCTTGGTGCACTTCGCCAAGCTCATGACCATATTGGCAATCTTCAGAGATGGAACAAAGCCCAAGACAGGACCATCAACAAGCTCCCAAACAAATGCAATGAGCTGAGGAAGACTATGAAGAGACAAGCTGAAGCTTCAGCTAAGTTCATGAGGAAGGTGACTGATCTTTTGACTAAAGGTACTATGGCTGGCTGCACTGCAGCAGACTTTGAAGACATCTTTTCCCCTCAGCCTCAGCCTATAGTTGATCCATTGGCTTCACCGACCAGGAAGCAGCTCCTTCGCTCCAAGAGAAACCCACCAGCTCTACCATCTTCATCCGGCAACAAGTCACCTTTACTAGCCTCGATTGGTGAGGAAGACAACTCCTAGGGAGAGGCATCAGCCTCTTCCCACGCTCCATAGAGGTACTCCTCTACCTTACCATTGTATATACCATTTAGCTTTCTTTTGGGTATCTCTCTCTCCACTAATAACAAGAGACTGTGTGATTTAAGTGTGGGGGAGGTACCAAGTTGCTGATCTTTTATGTGTTTTATGTCATAAGCATGCATTGTAGATAGTTATTTGCATAGAAAAAAATAAAAAAATAAAAAAATAATTTTTTTTAAAATCAATCATATAGTTGCATTAAGATTGAGTCTAGATCATTAATCTATTTGCATAAAAAAACAAACATTAGAAGTCTAGTTCATATAGGTTGCATCATGCATTGGGGACAAGGATGACACCTACCTTGTAAAGAGATCATGCTAAGTACTCAATTTGATGACCTTTGTAATCATGGCAAGTAGCTTGAGAATCCCTTAGAATGCTTGTAGACTTTGAGCCTTGAAAACTCTTCTTGAAACTCATCTGATTTATTGAAACTCTCCCATTGAAGCAAGCTTCTGTCTTATCTAAGCTTAATGTCTCTTGCATATGGTCAATTGTGTACTAAGTCATGGCTATACACACTTGAGTTGTCTCATCCATTTTACCAATCTTTTTGACAAACTCAAGTGGTACTTCATTCCCTAAACCCTACCTTCCTTTCACACCATCATTGATTGTTGAGTGAGGCCTTTTTGAAAAGCTTTACATGTGCATAATGTTAAGAGTTTTGCGAACGACAATGCTTGGTCTCCATTCTTGCTAGGTTAGGCACTCATATTTTCTAGCTTCTAGGTATGGGGTGGTGAGTGTTGAAATGTTTAATCTTGGGATGGTGAGAAAGAAAAGGTGAACTCTTAAAACTCTATAAAAGTTATGTCTTATTGGGATAGTTAAAGAAAATAATTCTAGCTCTAGTTTATGTTTAAGACTTAGCCCCTTCATATAAATTAAAAAAAAAAAAAGGTATAAAAAGGGGGCTAGCAAAGTTAGTGAGAGCTAAGAAGTGTCACAAAGTATAAAAATCCCTTGAAAACTTCAAAAAGAAAGAGTTCTAGGTAAGAAAATGTTATTGAGAGCTTTGGGAAGCCTTTGGGTAAGTGATGAGAGTTGGGTTTGAAATTGTGAATATAGGTTTATCTTGTATATATTTGGGATAAGGGTATGACAATGGAGATTGAACATTGTATGCATGAGTTGATCCCTTTCTTAGATATATTATGTGTAATGTCAAAGCTACTTGTTTTGAGAGTAACCACCTTTAAAGATTGTCTTGAAACCCCTTGCTTAACTTAACACAAAAATCTTTTCTTACCAAACCAAATGACTTGGACCACTTGGCCATTTGTAAGATTTCTGTTGAGTTTGCTTAATGATTGTGAGAGAGTTGGTGGATTTGTGGTTGTGGATTTATGAAGATGAGTGAAGAGATCAAAAGAGTTAAGATATGCCTAGTGAAGTTAGAGATGGATAACGTCTTTGCTCTTGCTACTTGGTATGATTATGTAAGGTTATTAGATTGAGTACTAAGAAGAGTTTCTTTTGGTTATGAGCCCATGCCTTCAAACTTCTCCTCCTTAGATCTTGAAAGCTTACTTGCGGACAAGTAAAGGGCTAGTGTGGGAGAGTTGATATCTTGTACATTTACATGTTTTTATCTTTCATAACTTGTGCATTTTTTATCATATAGATTAGGAATTAGGCATCTTTAGGTCCATATTGCATTCATTTGTCCTAATCAGGTGATGGAGTATGATGTGGAGTGTTTTGAGAAGTCAGGGAACTATGTGAACTAAAAAGAAGTGAAGAATGAAGTCTGGCCAAGACAATACATTGAATTCAAGAAGATGATCGAGACACCCGGGTTGAGCCACTCGGGTTAGGAGGCTCGCTCGTCCAAGACCTGAAGAGGAACAAGAGGAGTCACACGGGTTGAGCCACCCAGGTTAGGAGGCTCGCTCGTCCAATACCTGAAGAGGAACAAGGGGAGTCACCCGGGTTAGGAAGACCGCTCGCCCGAGCATGAAGAAAAGCTGGTCGAGTCACCCGGGTCGTGTCACCTGGGTTAGGAAGCCCGCTTGCCCAAGCTTGAAAAAGAACCGGAGGAGTTACCCGGGTCGTGCCAACCGGGTTGGACGAGTGGTCCTTACCCGAGTATAGGCTTTGCTTTGGTCAAAAATCTAGCATGCATAAGGACCTTTTGGTCATTTTACTTTGTTATTTTTAGGTTTTCTAAGCCACTATAAATACTCTTNGTCACCTGGGTTAGGAAGCCCGCTTGCCCAAGCTTGAAAAAGAACCGGAGGAGTTACCCGGGTCGTGCCAACCGGGTTGGACGAGTGGTCCTTACCCGAGTATAGGCTTTGCTTTGGTCAAAAATCTAGCATGCATAAGGACCTTTTGGTCATTTTACTTTGTTATTTTTAGGTTTTCTAAGCCACTATAAATACTCTTGTAATCTCATTTTCGGATCTGGATCTTTTGTTGAACCTCCTAAGAACAAAACTTTGGTGAAACCTTGAATCTTTATTATCTTAATCTCTCTTTATTGTGTAAATCTGAGTCTTAATCACCTCACAACACATGATTAGTCTTAAATCTATCATAGGTTTAAGGATAAACATGGTGATAGTGAGTAGACTCCTTTAGAGCTTATGGGCTTGGGTGATTAGGGTGATTAAGAGATGATCTAGAGAGTTTATTGTTAGATCCATCTTGTTCTATGCATATTACTTGAGTTTAATGCTATTCTAGAATTGATCATTCTAGGATTGAACAATAAATATTTCCTGCCCACAAGGTGTATGATAAAATTTCTGAATGAAGTAATATTGCTCTAAACTTGCTTAACCAAGGACACTTGATATTAAGGAAGCCTAGGTAGTTAGTAGACTAGTTCTTAATGATTGTTTAGTTGATTTAGACCAAAGACATTTGATGTCTAAAGATAGAAAACAAATGAACATCCATCTTGACAAAGAGTTTGTTTAGGAAAGTATATAGACTTATAGAACATGTGCTTGCTTGATTTAGCTCTCTAGATAGAATCCTAGTCACCTCAAATCAATACCCTTGCCCATGGATTCTACTTTATCACTTGATTGAATCCATTTTACTTACTTGCTTAGTTAATTTACTTGTTACTTGATTACTATAAAAACTCAACTGGTTGCATTTTGATTAGGCTATATCTTGCATTCTCTATGCTTAGCACAACTCAGGATTGGATTGACATTCTATATTTACTAAATTGATTTGCTTAAAGTTTAAAAACCCTTATCATTCGGTTTGATTAATAAGGTTCTAAAATTTGTCTAACCAAAATAAACCATAATAAGTTTGGATCAGTTTCAGTTCAGTTCGTATTTAGTTTGGTTCGTTTCGATTTGGTGTGTGTTTCGGTTTGTTGTAATCAGATTCCCTTAGTTTAGTTTTTCTTAAAAGAGAAATCATGGTTTAAGACATAAATGTACGATCATGAAATCATCTTGTTAGTGGCTATGGAAAAATGAACTATGTAAACTAAATCCAATATAAAAGTGAAATAAAAACTTAAAAAAACACACAAAAAATTATAAGAACATAATCCCAACAAAGTTAATTAAAGTAAATAAAAATAAACTATGTAAATTAAATATAATATAACACCGAAACAAAAAAAAATTAAAATCACAAAATATAATAAGAATACAATCAAATCAAAGTTAATTAAAGTAAATAGAAAATTTAAAAAACCTAACATCCTTTAAAAAGTTGATAGCAACTTTAGTGTTAGGTTTTAATATATTATGTATTAATATGTTTAATTTAAATAATAACAAAAACACATTAGTTTCTCGGTTCAGTTTAATTCGGTTTGGTTCGGAAGTTCGGATGTTTCGGATTAAGAAAATCTTAAACTGAACTATTTGATAATATATTTTGGTTTGATTTGGCTCGATTTCGGTTTAGTTGGTTCGATTTGACTTGTTTGGTTCGGCTTTTTTGTCCACCCCTAGTCATTTACATCTTTTTCAATGTTAGTAAAAATTTAATAAAATTGAAAGGTATATGAGATTGTACGAAAAAAGCCTTTTTGGGGAGAAAAATGTTTTGAACATTTGGTCCAATAGTTTCACGATTTTTCAACCGATTAAAACTTGAGAAAGGGTAGGTTCGGCTGCCAAAGTGAAGGGCTTCCGCTAAGCCATTTATTTATTTTTTAATCTTTTTAATTATCGAACAAGCCAAAAGGGGACAATGGTAGGATTAGCGGTTTAGTGGAACAACAGCCTCACGGCTCTATTTGTCTTAGGGTTTTCTTCTCCACACCAGCATAGTAAGATGTGCGGCAGAGCTCGCTGTACTCTGAGACCTGAAGATGTTCCCAGGGCTTGTCACCGCCATGGATTTCCTGCCCATTTTCTTCATCTTCAATGGTATTTCCTTTGCCTCTTTTCTCCGTTTTAGTTTCAGTTTGTTTCCCTTTCTCTTTGTCCACCGAACATGGTTATTTTGTCGTTAAGCAGTTATCGTCCTTCTTACAATGTTGCGCCGGGATCGTATATGCCGGTTCTACGGAGAGACAATAATGGTGTTGCTGTTCACTGTATGAAGTGGGGATTAGTCCCTGGTTTCACTAAGAAAACTGATAAGCCAGATTTCTTCAAAATGGTAAAACTTTATTACCTCTGATTCCCAACTTCTTGAGTGGGTTTTGTTTGGCTTGTTTTGAGATTTGCATATCTGTTTAGTATCTCTGATTGCTGTCTTGATGCCGTAACGTTGTGATCATATTTTGCAGTTTAATGCTCGGTCTGAATCGATTGGTGAAAAAGCGTCTTTTCGTAGATTGCTTCCAAAGAATAGGTGTCTTGTTGCAGTTGATGGGTATCTATTATCTCCTTTTTTTTCATATTATTCTAGCCCATGTTTCATCTGTATGTGAATATATCTTACTCATATTCTCCTCAGTAGTGACCGATCAAGCAACGTTACCGTCTCTACTCATTTAGTGGTTACTCTTTTGATTCTGTGTAATTAACCTCAAGACTAAAGTGTTGTTATTTGACCAAATTTTCTGGGAATGAATTCTGCAGAAACACTTATATCTGTAGAGTCAGATTCATTGTAATTGTTTGCATCCATTTGATCTGAAATGTACAGAGTCTAGGATCAAAAAACTCTTGTAAAATTTAAAATAGTTTCTTATATTATGTAACTGTAGGTAGATGTGTACCATTTCTTTATACATATATATACATGCTTTTGTTTGTGTTTATTATATCCTAAAGTTATAATAAAAACTTATATTGAGATTCATCTTGAAGGTTCTATGAGTGGAAAAAGGAAGGCTCAAAAAAGCAACCATATTACATCCATTTTAAGGATGAGAGACCTTTGGTATTTGCTGCTCTTTTTGATTCTTGGCAGAACTCAGGAGGTGAACTGTCCATCTTTTTCTTTTAAGTTCTGATATTCGTTTTGAAGCAGATCCTTAAAACCGTATAGATTAGGTAACATTTTCTAGACTTGTAAGGTTTTCGTAGTTGTTTGAAATGTTTATCTTCTATAATTTCTACCTAGTAACTGCCTACTGTTATCATTTTTCTTAACTCTTTTAGTCTCTATATACTCAATAACTGGCTATCTGGTGCATATACTTGAAGCATCACTTGAGATGAATTCATCCTTTGTTCCTGGTAGCTGAAATTTCTTGCTTGCTTTTATTTTACAAGATAACAGTTACTTTTACTGTGCAGGTGAGACACTTTATACCTTCACCATTGTGACAGCCGCTTCCTCGCCAGCCTTGGATTGGCTCCATGGTAAGTTATAAATAGATTAGTAGCACAATGGAACACATAACATATCAAGTTGGGTATTGTATATTCTCTATAAACCCTTAGCTTCAGTTCCTCATTGTTCAAAACTATAACAGAGATATGAAACTTAGGGTAATATACTAGTATATTGCGTTATTTCTTTTTTTTTTAAATCTAATTTGATAAGCTCCAAAAAGGCAAAAACATATCTGTAGTCGTGAGTCTACTGCTCGAAAATATTGGAATTCTAAGGAACTGTATTAAGAAAAGAACCAATACAGAATACACCTCTGTTTCTGCAATTTATATTAGTTTAATAGTGACTGATGCTTTTCTTTGCAAAGGTTACATAACTTTGCTTAGCTTAAATTATTAACCGCTTACACGCGAGTTTGTTTATTTTTTCACTTCAGACAGAATGCCAGTAATTCTGGCTGACAAGGATTCAGTCGACACATGGTTAGATGATCCCTCAACGTCGAAACTGCAGCCATTACTTGCACCATATGAGAAATCGGATTTGGTAAGCTTACTTAGTTCCTCATTTTTGGGAAATAAAGGTAAGTTTTTTGTGCATACCTGAGATTGAATTTTCAGGTATGGTATCCAGTAACTTCTGCAGTTGGTAAACTATCTTTTGATGGACCAGAGTGTATTCAACAGGTACTGTTAACCAGTTTCCCTTTGTTAGTGTACTAGTCTGTGTCTTAAGTAGTTTGTGTGCAGATACCGCTAAAGGCCTCACAAAACAGCTTGATCTCGAAGTTTTTCTCAGCAGAGCATCCGAAAACAGAAGAAAAGGACAAAGAAACCAGATCAACTGATGCAACCATCCCAGCAGGTCCGAAAGAAGAACCTATACTTGAAGGTTATGAAGGGGTAGTAGTCTCGGATAGCAATGATGAAACTAAAGAACTGGATAAGGATAAGGAGAAAGATAAATCGAATGAAGCCAAAAATCTGTGTTTTCAAAAGATTGTGAAAGCGGAACCGTTTATTGGAGATAGCTCAGCTGTTGCATCTCATCCTGAATCTCTAAAGAACGAAGTTAAGGAGGGTACATGTGGAGAAGGCGAATTCAAAGAGACTGGTGGCTTAGAGTTTACCCCGAAGTCTTCAGGAAAGAGTGGGACAAAGCGAGATTATGAGTTATTCTCAGCTCAAGAAAAGCAATGGAAGCAGAGTGTGAGGTTGCAAGATCTTGATAAAAGCAGTGTGAAACACGGAAGGAAGCAAGGAAAAGGAAAGTCTAACATCAAGAAATCCAAGGACACGCAGTCTACATTACATTTCTTTTTCGATGGAAAATAGTTTGTGTACATAATCATCAATGGGGACGTGTTGGTTTGTGGATTATAAAGGATATGTACCGTCGATGCTTTGTTTATCGGTTCTGCTCGATCTTTGATTTAAAGAATTGTATGAATAAGAACATGTTAGAAGTAATGTATGCCTTTCTTTGTGGTCGAGTTGGGTTATTTTCGTGTAAATAAAGGATTATCCTCATGGAAGTCCCTCAGCCCACAGTAAACAGTTTCCAATGTCCTTAAGGTTGGTGATTGGCATTTAAATGACAAGTTTGGGATTTTTTGGTTGGAGTTCGTTTCCCCTAATATTTTTCTACTATGTACATGTTCAGTGGGTTTTGATTGGAAAGATTCGTCTAGTTACATATCTGCCAAAACTTGGTAGTCTTTTATATGGCTTTTATCTAGATGTTTCTTTTCTGATCAACAAATCCATTCATTAAAAAAATCAAACTAATCTAAGTTTTAGCCCAACTAAGGCTTTGTTACATGAAAAGAAAGTCTGAGAGTGGTCTTTGTCAACCCATTAACTTTTCCATTCTCAGAGCTAGAGATGAAGACTAAGAAATTGAACCAAACAAAAGATACAATTGGGTTAGATTTGCTTGGAACTCGAAGATGTCTTTTAGGGATTGCTTGTTGGTGATTGTTCTAACAAGCGCCTGGTCGTCGGAGCAGACTTGTAGATCGATGATATCAAGTGTTGTTGCCATTTGGAGAGTTGATAGGACCGTCATGGTTTCTGCCATATACGGTAAACTAACGAAATCATGAATCTGTGAAGTTCTTTGAACCAAAAAACGGAGAGAGTCCGCTGAAGATCCATGCAAGTTCTGATTTCTTTGTTGCTTTATTCCACAAAGCATCGGTCTTACACAAGATTGGAGTTCTCTGCAAGTTTCTCTGGTGACTAGACCTATTTAATTTGGAGCTTTGTGATGTAACTGATTTACTTTGCAGTTGGGTCCACTCTTGGGCTGATGCTAAGCTTTTTCTCGTGATGTCTTCTAGAGATGAGCTTTGATCTTCAAATATTAGTTAATTTATCGAGGTCTATATAGTTCAGTAGACCTATGGGAAGATATTTCCAGTGATACCCAATGGTGAAAGAATGACTACCTTTTGGAGTGTAACTGGAGCTTCCATCACACTTTCCAAGGCCGCTAAGTCAACTGCTGAAGATAAGCGAATCAGTTGCCAGATATGTGTGCCAAGGGACAAGAGAAGAACATGTGGGCTGTACTTTCTTCTTTGTCGCATATGGGACAGTTGAAATCCGTAGTTATGCCTCTTCTCTTGAGGTTTTCTCCCACTGGTAAGACTCTTAGGATGCTTGACCAGAGAAATACTTTCAGTTTAGGTGAGAAGAAGCCTAACCAAACATATTTATATCATTTGAACTCGCTTTATGGAAACAGGTCAATGGATGAAGGAGACATCATAGCCGTATTATATCCTGATTTTGTCAAGTAGATTCTAGAGTGGAGATGAAATCCCCCCCCCCCTTCTCTCAAGTAGATTCACTGCACCTGCTCCATCAAGTCAGGTAACAATTCCTCCACTCTCTTTGTATGCTATTTGAGGTCTCAAGTAAGAAGATCAGAAATGTAATGACCCGATCCTAGAGTATTTTTAATTTTGAAGGAAATAAATCAAAAGAGGTTTATTTGTACAAGAAGTGTACTTTTCTATGTGTGGAAACACTTGTATTCGCGAATGTGTGGAACGTATTTTTCTAAGTTGTATTTTGATTAAGTGTCGGATCTTCAGTGAACTCATGGAACAGATTTGGGATGAGCTGAATGACAGTAAAAAATCATGAGATGATAAGAGCATAAGTAAAGAAGCATGAAGACCGTAAGGCCAATTAAAGAATGTTTGGCTACTCAACAATGCGGGTCCCAAATAAGGAAATATCCAGTAGCTAACACTGCGAGATTATACAAAAGGAAGATTGGATCTGAGGGAGTAAAAACATTGAAGGTAATCTTTGACCAAGGCAAATAATGAAATTGACATTAAATACCCAGCTTAGTAAGCAAGTTTGAGAAATCCTATATAAAGACTCGATCTCTCATTTTATATACAACCAAAAAATGAGTTTAGATAGAGGTCAGAGAAGGAACATGTTCATAGAGAGAGGAGTTTGAGAAGAGGGATCAACCAAGGAGGAGCTAAAGAATTCTTAGCTGGAAATCGTTAGGAAGTTCAGAGTCAGCTAAGGTGGGGGCGTGATTCGTGGCAACTTAATAATTAATATTTTGGTCAAAGATGGTTCGTTAGGGTGAAGATTATGGGTTAGGAGATTTTTTTATGAAAAGTTCGTTCTTCGTTATTTGAGGTTGTTCTCAAGAATTGAAGAATGGAAGAAAGTTCTTGCGTTCTTATGATATTAACATGTTAGATTGTGTGTGATTATGCCATGTTTAAATTGATGTGTTTATGTGAACGAACGTAGAATTGATCTTGAAAAGAATAAATATGTTAAGCAGAAAGAAACTGATTAAGGTGAGATTAATTAATAAAAAATGGGAAATGACGATTTAGCTTAAATAAGGAAAATATATGATTAAGCAAAGGAAAGTATGCTTTGGTTTCATGCCGTAAAGATGTCATGATCACGTTTTGGCTTCAGGCCGTGTATGTTGGTTTCAGCCGTGATGGACCTTCGATTTGCTGGTTGACTATGGCCACAGATTGACTACAGGCCGTGATGGACAGATGGATCGCATTTTTGGCTACGGCCGCAGATTTGGCTCCAGCCACAGATTTGGCTACAGCCGTGGATTTGGCTACAGCCATGGATTTGGTTACAACCATAGATTTGGCTACGGCTGCAGGTTTGGCTACAGCCGTAGGTAGATGGACCTTCGGGTCGAATGTCAGGATATCCTAAAGTAAAGAAATGATAGAAATGGATGCTAGGTTGTTAGTTTTGAATGCAGGGAAATGGATAAGTAATAAGAAAAAAACTAAGTAAGGAATGATGGACACGGATTGCTAGGTTGCTAAATGAGATTGCTAAGTTGTTCCAATGGAACATGGAATTTGATTATTTGTTTATTGAGTTGCATGTGGGTGGTTTTGAGCGTCCTCATTGAGTAATTTTATATACTCATGTCTCCTATTATGAGGCAGTAAGGTTGATTGTGTGGACCGGAGAGCGAGACTATAAAGACCATCGAGAATGAATATTTTGAATTTGGGTAATGTTTGGGTGTTTTATAAAGCTATTCTTATTATCAGGATGTAGTCCTGTAAATCATCAATAAAGTGACAGTGTTTCTTCCTTTCATTTGTTAAAATATGACTCGATCTTTACATAAAATTTCCAACGTGTTTTTCAAAGATTTTTGGGTTAGTGTATTTCAAGAAACCCTTACGTCAAGTGAGTCTTTTTGATAGGTCCATAGAGTTTTAGGTTCTTAGACGGGGATGTACATGATCATGTCAAACTTTTGTTGTGAGTCCATTGTTCATTGCTTTTATTGCTTCCTCAAGATTTTCATTTAAAGATCCTTACCAAACAAAATCCCCCTCCATCCATGAGAGCAAGATGAGGTTGCAGTGACCTCTCGGATGTGCTTGTTGTGGTAATAATTTCCATTTAGTACTCTAGCAAGTAGACAATCTGGTTTTGATAAGATTCTCTAATTCACCTTTACTAAGAGAGCTTGATTAAACACTTCAATTTTTTATAAAAGCCAATCCTCCAACCTCTTTAAGCTTTGCGAGATTAGACCAGGATACCCAATACATCTTCCTTTTCTGATATTTACCATCCCACCACAATCTCGTAAGAACTGACTGAATACATTGCATGTGTCATCTCTTATCCTCTAAACTTTAATCAACTTGACTAAGGATAAAGCGTTTCGGTGGCAAGCGACTTTTTTTTGTCGTCGGTCGCCACCCCTCTCTTTATTTTTTGTTTTCCGATCTAATTCAGAACTTATTTTCGGCATTAGTATGATTGTAATTTTTTTGTAACAGATGTTGCTTTAGATTTTGTTTTGTGTTTTCTTATTATTTCTGTGAAATCATCATCATAAACTTCTTGGGATTGTTAGGATCAGCTTCTTTTGTTATCAGATTGCTTGGGTTTTTCCTTCAACATAAATTAAATTGTATTTTGTTTCCCTCTATATGAAACGAAGCTTCTCTGTGTGAATGGATAACCGAGTATTTGAAGTCTACTCGAGTTGATTTGATGCAAGATAAGTAGATTTTGAGATTATGTTGACGTGCTCCAATATATATTTTGTCGTTCCGATAGTTTCTGGTGTTAATCGTTTGGTGAAGAAGAAGAAGATTCAACATAATCCATGGCAAGCACCACAGAAAGTTAATAGCAGTATTTTGATGTGGCATTGCAGAACGGAAGCAAGATTGAAATCAGTTGAGCAGTGATGGTGAGGAGATTTTGGAGAAGACAGCGTCATCACCATGCAAACTCTAGGCTCTAACATATGTTGTTTGAGATTAAATTTGGTCTACACCTAGTGTTGTCGATTTGGTTGTACTGATCCGTCTAGTCCCGCTCCACCACGGTACATGTTCATTGTGGGTCTTGGCGGTACATGCCCGCATGGGACGCTCTCTCAGGAAGTGCTGCCCAATCCCAACCCACAACATGCACAAGCCTTGGCGGTACAGGCCCGCAGGACTCCGATCGTCACATGTCACCTGCAACAATAAGAGACCAAGACATATGAGACTACAACATAAGTCAGTTTTATAAGCAAATGGAACATTACATGTGTCTTGCAACATGAGTCCTTACTAATTCAAAACCAAATAAGGCAATCCTTTAATATATGTCACCATATCACCGAGAACATTACTTGCATCTTGCAACATGAGCACCACTTGTTTTTAAAGGAAAGACATTATAAGCAAATGTATCTTAAGAAATCATGTAATTTTGTATGTTTATGTAAGCTTCATGTTTTAAGATTTGGAAAAAACTTCTTTGTGATCCAAGGCATGATATTATACTGATTTTTTATTAGCCATCTTTAAGTGACAAAAGATTGAAGTTTAGAAACTTATTTTAGTTTGATGTGTATGCATAAGAATGACATGAAGTACCAATGGCAAATCTAGCTAATCAAACCCAAGTAATATAAATTAACTCCAAAACCAGATCCAAGAAATGTAATGTGACCTTGTTTAAAAACTTTATTGAAAAAACCCATTGGGACAAAA